ATTTAAGGGAAAATATTAGCATATTTTAAACATAGAATTTAGATGAGCCCCTGTTCTTTATAAATCTGAAGCACTACATTGCACGTTTATTTAGATCTTCCCTTAGTTACAAGAATTAGAGTACAGAAATCTGGTGGCGCTGCATGTTAATTTTATGTGCAGGTGTTTCAAACATGGCATTCAGGATGCAGGATACTCTACTTGAAAGTTGAAGTTATTACTCTCCCCCACCTTAAATAGTCAAGAGAGAGAGACTGATGGATTAGAAGCTAGGATAAATAAGAGAGAGAGAGAGAGGGGAGAACGTGAAGTCTGCAAAGTACAAAGAAAGTTGGCTCTGATAATATTAGGTCACACCCCTCCCAGTTTACGAGACATAGCTGTTGTGAAAGATCCGCAAGTCTCCTCTGTAAGCAGTTGATCTATAGACTGACAGTAATAAGAACATCTTCGACAGGTACAGCCTGACGGATGAGATTGATTACTGTTCGGTTTTAGAGCTTCTTCGACAGGTACAGCCTGACGGATGAGATTGATTATTGTTCGGTTTTAGAGCTTCTTCGACAGGTACAGCCTGACGGATGAGATCGATTACTGTTCGGTTTTAGAGCTTCTTCGACAGGTACAGCCTGACGGATGAGATTGATTACTATTCGGTTTTAGAGCTTCTTTGACAGGTACAGCCTGATGGATGAGATTGATTACTGTTGGGTTTTAGAGCTTCTTCGACAGGTACAGCCTGACGGATGAGATTGATTACTGTTGGGTTTTAGAGCTTCTTTGACAGGTACAGCCTGATGGATGAGATTGATTACTGTTCGGTTTTAGAGCTTTTTCGACATGTACAGCCTGACGGATGAGATTAATTACTGTTCGGTTTTAGAGCTTTTTCGACATGTACAGCCTGATGGATGAAAGAAGCTCTAAAACCGAACAGTAATCAATCTTCAAAGAAGCTCTAAAACCGAACAGTAATCAATCTCATCCATCAGGCTGTACCTGTCCAGGTACAGCCTCATGAATGACATCGATTACTGTTCGGTTTTAGAGCTTCTTCGACAGGTACAGCCTGACGGATGAGATTGATTACTGTTCGGTTTTAGAGCTTCTTTGACAGGTACAGCCTGACGGATGAGATTGATTACTGTTCGGTTTTACGTTTAGTGCTTCTTCGAAGTAAAGAATAACACAGAAACGGGTTACTTACACTGTTGTTTAACATATTTATAAACTTATTATAATATATATATAAAATGAAAGAAAACTACTGCGTACTTGTTAAGTTTCTGATGATTGTATATATTGGTAGAATGGTTTAGCGTATGATTTATATAAATGTTTGCTTTAAGAAATATAATTTATCGTATTTGTGTTGTGATACTAAACTTCACTAGGGGGAGAGGTTACGCTGATGCCCAGACGTAAGAAACAATTGAAATTTTGTTGTGTTCAGAATAAAGTCGCTTCAGACGAATAAAAACAGATGTTTTTGTTTTGTTTTTTAGAACAAAGCGAAACAATGGGCCATCTGTCTTCACCGCGAGGAATCTACCTCCAGATTTTAGCGTTGTACGTTCGTAAACTTACAGCTCATCCAATCTGGGGCAATAATAACAGACAGATTTAACCAAGAATGATACAACAAGTTGATGAAAACTTCTGGGTGAAAGGTTTTTGCCAGAGTAATAAAATAGAGACATTTGTATATTTAAGAGGGGTTTGTGAGCATTCTGGATATTGAAAGTAGAATTCAGTTAAATTATATATTTTTTTGATAACCCTTGGTAGTGCTAGGGAGGCAAGAGAGCGATATGTTTTGCCCCCCCCCTCCCAAATCGGTATATCTATATCAGTAAGCCCTATGGTTTCTTAACACCTAACGGAGTCAGTAGGACTAAATCAGAAGTCAACTAGGAAGTAAGTGATTAAGTTTCAATGAATTTCACAAGTGATGGTTTATGGTTCTGAAGCAAAATCTTGGGGGAAAGATTTGAATCCTAGCTGAAGTATGGAATGATGTGGTCACATGATTGGCTTTCAGAGGTCAGTGTCATGCATGTTGTGTTCACCACATGATTAGCTTCCAGAGGTCAGTGTCATGCATGTTGTGTCCACCACACAATTGGCTTTCAGAGGTCAGTGTCACATATTTTTATGGTCTTCCGCGTACTGAACATACTCCATAATTTATATGTATAAATATATTGTTTTATAAAAAGTTAGTACATTCTCCTTCAGAATTAGTAAGTATTTTGGTTCTAACACAACTGTAATATTCTTCAGTGTAATTATTTCAGTTCTGTTTCTTTCTAGCAGCAACATGTACAGAAGCAACATCCAGAATTCGTGAAGAATGTTCTGCTAGACAGCTAGAGATCTGTAAGATGGCAGTTCTGCAGCACGGGGATGTCAACGAAGCATCATTAGCACAACTTAATGTGAAGGAGTTATGCAGGTACTTTCAGTAAAGTGACTAAAGTTAAAGATTTTCCATCAGAGTATTTTGTGGCCTCTGTAATAAAATTCAACGAACATTATTTGTTCGATTCTTCTAGCCCTTTATTTTTATCAGACACAAGTTATTTAAAATAAAAAATAATGTGAAATACCGTATTAGTGATGGACAAATACTTCTGTTATCCAGAACTTTCACAGTCAGGAATAACAACAGTTATAAATGACATATATACTCTTTCCTTTATTCAATAAACTCTGAGTTATGTAGTTATTCTAGTAATCCTGAGGTATCGTATCTTGGGTATATCAGTTATTGAAATAATCTAGCATACATAATTTCGTAATACAGCTAAAGAATATAGTACATGAAATCTCAATCATTCAGTTGTGGTATATTGTATATTGTAAATAATATTGTTTATGTATCTATGTATTATTTTATTTGTAAATGTTTTGGGTTTCAGTTAGAACACATTTTATGTAACTTTATGTTTTAACCAGTTTTTAAAACATTTTACAGCAACTTAAGAACGAACATGAACTGTATATTCAACTACTCAAAGATGTGCATGGAACCAAGTGAAAGACATCAATTAAGTGATCTGATTATCCAAACTAGGAATATTGTTCATTATATTTGTAGAGGAGAAGACTCGGATGGTAAGCATTTTAAACTGAATGTAGATAGTGTTTCAAAATCATAAGCTGGAGAAACGATCTTTATAATTTCACGAAGCCCCAAGTGCATTTTCTACTTATTTAATGTACATTACTGACGTCTAACACTGTTGATGGCAGTTTATTTCATAAGTTAATCACCCTGTCTTCAGAATAAAACATAAATAGATCAGAGGCCGTTATCCTATCGGTCTTCCAAATCTTTTAAACTTCTTTCAAGATCAATTAAGAGGTTTTTATTCACTCCCCATAAGATTCATCCTCAGAATTATCCTAGTAGCTCTCCTCTGAACCCCTTTTTAATAAGTCAGTATCTTTTCTTAGATAAGAAAACTAAAACTGTATCCAGTATTTTGGGTGTGGCCTATCTAGCGATTTGTATAGAGATAATTACTTCTTTTGACTTGCAGTTAAATATGTCTATAAATAAATCCTAAAATTCTATTAGCTTTTCTACTAGAAATGGAACACTGCTTCAATAACCTGAGTGACTTATTGTTTTCTTAGTCACTTATGTTGTGTGATTTAGTGACTTATCCTTTTCTTAATCACTCTGTTGTGTAGTTTAGTGACTTATCCTTTTCTTAGTCACTCTGTTGTGTGGTCTGGTGATTTATTCTTTTCTTAGTCACTGTTGTGTGGTTTAGTGACTTATCCTATTCTGTAATCACTCTGGTGTGTGGTTTGGTGATTTATTCTTTTCTTAGTCACTGTTGTGTGGTTTAGTGACTTATCCTATTCTGAATCACTCTGTTGTGTGGTTTGGTGATTTATTCTTTTCTTAGTCACTGTTGTGTGGTTTAGTGACTTATCCTTTTCTTAGTCACTCTGTTATGTGGTTTAGTGACTTATCCTTTTTTTAGTCACTCTTTGTGTGGTTTAGTGACCTATCCTATTCCTAGTCATTCTCTTGTGTGTTCCAATCTATATGAAATGTGTACAAAATTATGGGACCACAAACACATTTCCTTGCACTTACTAAAATTAAAAATAACGTGTCAAATATTTGTTCAAATTACACGGATGAATCTGTGACGGTGCAACATTATCATTATGAGGAACCTGTCTGTACATTGTCCCAAATGCACGACATTAAATAAAGCCACTGTGTAATCTCTTCAATTTTTGTGTTTAAGTTTAATTTTAGTTTGTAGCATGTATATCATTCTTATTTTTGGTGCTACATTTCAAACACTTAGTTAGGTGCTTCTGTATAAATATACTTGTATAAAACCCATAGCATAATTCAGAGAAAGGAGTGACGAAAGGGCAAGATTAAAACCTTGGAATGTTTTCTCTCAATAGAATACTGGACGAGAGGGGATTGTTACGGACAAAGACGTATAAAGAAATGTAGTGAAAATTTCTCTAAGAAAGTGATAGACAAAAATAAGAACACGGAGACCACTTGTAGGTAAGTGTGGAGCCTACTGGCAGTTGAGTTTTGTTTCTGATAGATAATTAGGACAGATCTGATGTAGTCACATTTTTTGTGTTTATTTTGCACAGATTTTGTATGGATCGGTCAATCTCATCATTATCAGCACTGATACAGTCCATCATTATAAGTTATTGATCATAGAGGTTTCAGTTCCCTTGTTATCAATCTTTCCTCTTACCATCCCATTGTTATCAGGCCTTCATGTTATGAAGGCCTGATAACAATAGGATGGTAACAGGAAGGTTTGATAATCATGTAATGGTAACATGAAGGCCTGATAACAATGGGATGGTAACAGGAAGGTTTGATAACTGTGTAACGGTGTAACCATTACATAGTTATCAAA